AGTGCACTGACACCTTAGGCCCTTCCGGGACACGGTAATAGTGACGTGCAACCCTTATGGAGAACGGCATACTTGGGTTGGTCAGGGTAACCTGATGGGGGAGTTTTTAGTATAAGTCTGACTACTTAAACATTATATAAGAACTCTCCTACCCTGGCGCGATCAACATCCTCTCGCGAGACCCTAATTGAAATAAGCCAGAGCTTAATAATATTAAGTTTTATATTTTACTTTTATTCTTTACATTTTGCCAGAGCTGTGTTTGAGAGATTTGAAGTTTGGTGCGGTTGCATCCTGAGGAACCATCTACCTGCAGGACCCCCCATTTCACACAATCAGGTTCCCAGAGTGAGGAGAGGACTCCCATCTAGTAGAAGCAAAATGCCAGATGAGGGAAGGAGTAGAAATGCAGCTCCCATGGGTAGAAGGATAGAAAGAATCAGCCTGCACCCCCCGGTGAGGGGGGTGCATGGCTAAAGAAAACTGATTATAGTTCCTCAGTGCTGTGTTGTTCCTGATTAGGAAATATGTTTCAATGACCAGAGGTGTAGCGGAGATGGAGCATATAGTACAACCAAGTAAACTACAATCAATATATGCACTCAAAAACTCAATGCCGATTCCCCTATTATGGTCAGATGGCCATGACAGGTCACATCCTTAGAATCCATCTTCCTAGGAGAGCCCTCATCCCACCTTGATACCTACTTTTGTTATGATCTTTCTTGACCATTCCCTGTAAAACCTTCTTGGTTCCAGTTACAATTTGTCTTGACTTAGAATTAACTGTCACCTAACAGGGGACTACTCCTTCAGCATACTTCGTCGCATTACTTACTACTTGCATTACTTGTGGACCTGCCCCTTGGAACCCCTATGTCACTTGCTCTTAACCTTTCTTTTGTTTCGGATTTTTTAGTAGGTTTTCCTGACCATTCCTGCTTTCTTCTTAGTTATGCATTCTTTGTTTGTCTGCTTAGCCTGGCTAGGACTGCTTTTCTTTGAGGTGAGATGTGCGGTTACCTCCATACCAGAGAGGCTAGGGGATTGGCCTGTCCCTCTGGCGGGAGGAGGATAAAATGGGTTTTTTGTCATCATAGCTAGTACTCCATACTCTTTTTATACCCTTAAATAAATAATCAATGAGTTAAAAAAAACAATTCACTAGCTTTCAGAACTATCAGTGAATGGAGAAGACATCTTATCAATATATTTGTTATACTTTGATACCTACTTTTAGTGTGAACTTTCTTAACAATTCTTAGAGAAAACTTATTGGCCCCAGTTACAATTTGCTTGACTTCGAGTTGGCTGCCGCCTAACAATTTTGTTTTATTTTATAATATAGTAGTTTTGCTCTCTGTTATGATGTCCATTTCACTCTTGTTCATTTTCATGTTACTATTACCTATCAATTTTCTGATCTTGCATATTGAAAATTTTTCTCTTATATTTTGTTAATATTATGTTTATTTTCTCTACTATTTTCAGATAAGCTTCTTTTCTTATATTGATATTATAGGATATCTCAGTAACCTGCCAAGAGCCCAGATCTGAGTTAGCATAATAGTGTATTGATAGCCAATTTTACTGTCTCAGAACACCCAAGAAATAGTAGTAACAGTTGGTTTCTTTTGGAACTATAGAATAAAAATAAAATGGAGAGAAGGTAGTAAAACAAATTCTGTAAGTTTTATATGATAATCTTTTGTTAGGCTCTCTATCTTATCATAGGTTATAAGATGATATAAATATCGAATTCCTCCGACCTTTGTTGTACAACTTAGTCATTTTTGGCCGACAACGATGACAAAAGAGAGGCAAGCTGCAGTACCGTACAAGTGCTTTTGTGGCGTGGGTCGTGTATTACATCACGTGCTGGCGCCATCTCGAGCGGAGGTTGCAGATTATCTCTGCGGTACGTTCGGCCTTGGAACGCGTTGTCCAGACTGTTTTCCCTGTTTTTTGGAAGGGCGGCCCCCTGACTTAGGCCTTGGCGCGAGACTCCCGAAAAAAAACAAGAAAGCCACGCTTGACACTCTTGATCACCCCCTCCGAAACACATCCTTTTCCCACTTTCTCGTTATCGCTCGATGACCTGAGCCTTCATCATGAGTGACGAAACTCCTAGGATACCTTCGTCCTTTCCAAGGTCTCCTGTTACTATCCGAGCACGCCGGGCACCTCCTTCGCCCTCACCTCTAACCCGGGCATCTCCACCTCGTTCAGTAGGTACGACTGTATCTGCCTCCGTAACATCTACAATCTCAACAGGTCCAAGGACTAGTGCTCCGCCTAGCATAGTACAAACTGGAGACGTTGCTCTTCCACCATTAATATCGCTCGATACACTAGATGCACCGACACAGCGCTTATACACCGTTGGCTTCTTTGTCCTTCTACAAGCGTGGAAGTTTTACGACATCGCGCGATTGTATACTACAGATGGGGACTCGATATCCGAGCTGTGGTTCTGCTCTAAATGGCTGGTTCTAGACGGCTGCTTCTTTTGGTTTTTGCCGTTACTTCGGATACCCTGGCTCACCTTCACGCCGAATTTCACCTTACGTACAATAGCGATTTTCTCGGTCGTGGACATCTTCTTTAGCCTGAAATATGAGATACCTATTACTGCGATTCTTGGGGGCCTTTGGAAGTGTGAGCGGCCCCTTGTTTGCGGTTGGTCGTTGAGTCCGTAGCTGATTCCACTGCGTTTAGTTGTTTATGATCGTGAGGTTTCCATTTCTGAGAAAAGTGTCAAGTGGTACGATATCGTAAACAACAACTCCCACATCCAGGGAAAGTATACGGTTCATATTTTACCCGAAGGGTGCGTTCCTTCCCATTTGATTGTTGTTTCCGAGCTTACTCTTACAGTGCCGTCGAACTGAATCCGAATGCAAACTGTTTCTGTTTGGGAGAGGGTGTCGCAGCAATTGATCTTCCTGTTCGCATTAATGGAACGAATCCTATCCACATTCAACTTGCCAGAATTGATTTTGAGACTGGGGGCGCGGATATGATCGATATTAGCGCTAAGGAGATTAAAAAGATGCTCAAACGGGCCGAGAAAGGCGAGGATCCAAAATTACAGGTTCTCTCGTATTCGGTCAAACAGCCTGGTCTTTATCGTCTTACTAAAGTGACAGACGTGACGCAATTGGATGTTCGCATTTATCGATCTGAGGCTCTTGTCGTTTCCTGTCCGAAGGCGACCCTCAAAGTTTCCCCTTCGTACAAACGGAATAAGTGCAAGGGAGATATGTCGGATCTTTCTCTACAAGTAGAGGGCCTTGCACCCCTTCAAATCACCTATAGCCGTGAGATGAGGGGAAAGCCTACTGTGTTTACGGTCCAAAGTATTCATCCCGAAAACTTCGAATCGCCCCTTCTTGCTGGATTCAGCAGAGATGGAACATTGGCCGAGCAGGGTGATGCTACCCTATCCTGGGCACAGCGCCAGAATATCCCCGTACCTCTTAACGAATCGCTTGGTTCTTCCGGCGACTGGGTCTATTCAGTGGATAAGGTTTCTGATGCCTGCGGCAACACTATCGATTACAATGCTGCTTATGAGGACGGTGATTATGTCGTTCCTAAGAGAGGTAGCCTTTCGCAAAACCTTAAGGTTCATGATAGGCCACTTGCCCGCTTTCTTGGCTGCGATCCTCAGCATCCAATGGATTTGCCGAAGGGAACCACTGGGGTTCTTCCTGTGCAGCTCTTGTCTGGTCAAGATGATGCGCCATACGAGGTTGAGGTTACTTTCACGCCGTACGATAAGCTTGAGTTAGCCTCGGAGCACGCTTCAGATGCAGCGGCGAAAATACATAAACTCAAGACTCTTAGCCAAGTTGTCTCCATCAAGGAGCCTGGTCTTTATAGTGTGAAGACAATTTCCAGTGACTTTTGTTCTGGCGATGTGATGGAGCCTGCTTCATGTCTTGTCATTACGCCTCCTGAACCGAGCATGGCTATGAGATCCGACGAGATACTCGATAAATGCACCGGGTCGTCGATTGGTCTTACGATCGATCTTACACTTGTTGGAGCCCCACCGTTCGAACTTTCCTATCGCCTTATCAAAGACAATGGGAGCCCGGCAGTCAAGACTTTGACAATCGAACGCACTAGACATCAAGTGCAATTCACCCCCGCGGATGCTGGTCACTACGCATATGAATTTTTCAGTCTGCGAGACAAGAATTATGCTAATGTCAAGATCGATCCAAGAATCAATCATGTGGAGCAAACTGTCAAACCTATGGCTGGGGCAACCTTTGTCGATCCCTCTCCTAGAAAGAAGGCCTGCATTGATCAGCCTGTTGAATTTGACGTCAAGATGCAAGGGATGCCCCCATTAACATTGAACTACGAGCTCATTCATAATGGCAAAAGAACAAGAATGACGGAACCTAACATATCGACCGGCATCCATAAAATAAGGACTCCTCCATTGGCAAATGGCGGAGAATATGCGCTGGCCCTGACTACGGTTGAGGATGAGAGCGGTTGCCAGATCTTTGTTGGGTCTGAGGCTAAGATCGATGTCAGGTGGCAGAGGCCGAAGGCACAGTTTTCGTCAGTTGAGGGCAAGATGTCCGTAAGAGCTCTGGAAGGGAAGACCGTAGACATTCCATTACGCTTGACCGGCGAGAGTGTGAGAATTCCTTTTGTCTTTCGTCACCGGGCTGATGGATTTACTAACATTGCTTTTTAGCCTTGGGATGTATCGATTCGAAACATAGACAGTAATGAGGCTGCTAGACAGCTCAAGTTTTCTGGTTCCAACGCCTACCTAACCGTCAAGGACCCCGGTCGGTACAAGCTTGAGAGCGTGCACGACAATGGGTGCCCTGGAACAATAACCGAGTCAGACGGCACGTTTCTAATCACCTGGATAGCAAGACCGATGTTGAAGCTAGCAGAATCTTCATCCACAGCCAAGGGTGATGTGTTCACAAGAAAAGATGTTTGCCAAGGAGATGAAGATGCCGTCGAGCTTGCCTTCGTTGGGAGCCCGCCTTTTACAATTGACTACGAACGCACCTTCAGACCTGAGGGCTTTGATTCTAGAAGAGCGCTTGACCCAATTCCCCAGAAACTTACTGCTGGTCTTGGCGTTGCTACCGTGCGCTTAGAGACATCTCGGGCTGGTCTCAACCGGTACAAGTTTTCTCGGATTGCAGATAGTCTTTACGACAATCCACGAGAGAGCCTTGTCCAGAATCCCATTATCCTCGAGCAGACTATCCACTCGAGGCCGTTCACGAGTTTCGCAAATCCTACTAAGGTCTATAAGTATTGTTTGGATTCCGGCGCAGGAGATGATATAATTCCCATCCAACTTCATGGGAAAGCGCCGTTCTCATTGACCATCAATATCAAACACTTCAACACCGGAAAGAGTGATGTCATTAATATCCCGCACGTTGATTCCAGCATCTTCAACTTTAGAATCCCAAGCCGCGCTTTGACCCTTGGAAGCCACGCTGTTAGCGTCCTCAAAGTGAAGGATGCTCGTGGATGTGTACGAAAGACCACCGAGGGTCCCCACGTTATGGTGGCTGTTGCTGATATGCCAACTATCTCACCTTCCAGCCAACAAGCGAATTACTGCGTCGGAGATCGTATATCCTTCACGCTTTCGGGGGTCCCGCCTTTTGCCGTCGAGTACGAATGGAACGGTGTTTTGATGAAGGCACACAACCAACCTTCCGAGTTTGCCCGTGTAGCAGAGAAGCCTGGTAATTTCACAATTACGGGACTTCAGGATTCCGCGAGTGACTGCAAGGTTAACGTTGGACTCACTCAAATTGTTCGTGAGGTACCCTCTGTTCGAATTAGCGATGGTTATACAGTGGTCAGGGGTATTCCTGAAGGTATTTGTCTCCTCTCTTAAACTTTTAGGCGACTGTTCTGACGAGTGATAATAGGTGACCAAGCTGAGATTCACTTCGACTTTTATGGCACCCCGCCATTTACATTCACGTCAGTATTTAACTGTTTCATCATTTCTTAAATCGGGGATTATATCTAATAATTCTACTCCACAGGTATACCCGCAGCGAGATTGCCAAGAAGGGCTCTAAACCGAGAATCCTTGAAATGCATTCACAAACTACGGACGGTTATAAATACAGCATGTTTGCATCCCAAGAAGGTACCTACGAGGTTGTATCCATTGAGGACAATTACTGCTCCTACGCTGCAGGCAAGACGAATTCAGGACGGAAAAGATAGCGCGATGAGGTGTTGGAGATATGGTTGTTATTAATAGTGGTTGGGTGGGCCGAGGGTCGGTTAGCAATCCGCTTAAAGAAATTGTACCAACATGACGAGAAAAGGCGTAAATGGTAGCGTTTGATGTTTGATGATAACTATTCTTGTGTATACTTGTTTCTTTTCTCTTTCTTTCATTCATATTTTTTCCCTGGGTTTGATGGCAAAATATCAAGGGGAAGCATATTCAATTTAGAATACCGTTCCAGCAATGGTACGACTTGTAAAGTCCACAGTTAGATAGAAAAGACGAGGCTATCGTAGTTAGGGAGGTGTTTGGTATGGTAGAGTACGGGACCGCAAATTTATATTGCAACCCGGAGGCCACAAAGGTGTGCCTAGAATGGTCACTTCGTCTGCCCCGCTTTGGCGCTAAGGGTTAGGGACAGCGGCCTGATTACGGGGGCCGCCTTCTGCTGATTCGCTGAGACTCTTCCGGTGTTGTCAAATCCCCCCAGGCCCTGTACCGCACACTCCAGTGCTTGAGTTTCTCGCCGCACCGTCCATCCATCGCATTTTTCTGCCCTAACCACCTTGCCACACCGTATTACTTCTCGTCCTCCACTTCCACATTCCTCCTCCACCACCACCACCACCACCAACGCCAACTGAACCACAAACTCTACCACCACCAAACTTCCGTCAATACCACTGCCACCACTACCATCGCCACCGCTACGCCAAGTCTTCATTCTTGCACAATTCATAGGGCCTTTGGTCTCTTCCTTCGCAATCGTGTCCGCTCTGTTCTCCCCTTCTCCCTACCGGTACTTCGACTTCCACTTCTAAAAATCATTCTCTCCTGCCTCTTTCTTCTACATCCCCCCTCCTCACCCTCACACCGGTTTCAACTTTTCCCGGCAACACCAATAACTGCCCCTGGTTTGCTTTCACCCTCGTCTCCAATCTACGATACTACGAGACCTCGCCAGCCGGACCGACCCCGATTCTACTTGGTGAATTAACTCGCTATCCCGAACCCGCAACACCACTGCATTTTCTAGCAACCAATAATAAGCCAAACAACACTATACTCTAATAGGTGCCCACACGGTGTTGTGATCTGCTTATCACTTCTGGACTCAAATCACAGTACCTTTCGGCATCTTTTTTTGACATCCGATTCCACAAATGGCGACTGCTCTCGCCGACCAACTTGAGGCGACATCGTTAGGGTAAGTGGTACCATGAATCCTTTCATTCCCTTCGTCGATGTGCTGACTATCGCTAACTATTGCTATTAGGGGAGGCCAAGACCCAAACTGGTGCTCCAAACTGAAGGCACCGAAGAAGGATCTTAGGCCACAAACTGAGGTTTGTTTACTCAATTCCCTACATTCTAGTTGCTCTGTACGAGTTTAAGCTAACCCTCTGCTAGGATGTTACCGCTACTAAAGGCCTCGATTTCGAAGATCTCTACATCAAGCGGGAGTTACTAATGGGTATTTTTGAGGCTGGTTTTGAAAAGCCTTCTCCTATACAGGAGGAAACTATACCCGTGGCTCTTACCGGTCGTGATATGCTTGCTCGGGCGAAGAATGGAACCGGAAAAACAGCAGCCTTTGTTATCCCAGCTCTGGAGAGAGTAAATCCAAAGAGCACGAAAACCCAGGCCTTGATTCTCGTACCTACCCGAGAACTCGCTCTGCAAACTTCGCAGGTTTGCAAAAGCCTTGGAAAGCATCTAGGCATCAATGTTATGGTTACCACTGGTGGAACAGGATTGAAAGATGATATCATTCGACTCAACGAACCCGTTCACATCCTAGTTGGAACTCCTGGTAGGATCCTTGATCTCGCAGGAAAAACTGTTGCCGATTTTAGCGAATGTCCAACGTTTATCATGGATGAGGCGGATAAGCTGCTCAGTCCTGAGTTTACACCGATTATCGAGCAGCTCCTCGCATATTTCCCTAGTGACCGTCAAATAATGCTTTTTAGTGCGACGTTCCCCCTTGTCGTCAAGAGCTTTATGGTAAGTATTCTGCTTCCCTACACTGCGGCCGTTTGTTTGACAAATAACTCTTCTAGGATAAACACCTTAACAAGCCATATGAAATAAATCTAATGGACGAGCTCACACTCAGAGGTGTGACACAATATTATGCGTTCGTAGAGGAGAAGCAGAAAGTTCATTGTCTAAACACTCTATTTTCTAAGGTACTTTCCAATGGCCTGTTGTGGCTTTGCTTATAGAAACTGACAGTCATATTTCAAAGCTTCAAATTAACCAATCTATCATCTTCTGTAACTCGACCAATCGTGTTGAACTGCTAGCCAAGAAAATCACAGAGCTTGGCTACTCCTGTTTTTACTCTCACGCAAAAATGCTTCAAAACCATCGTAATCGTGTTTTCCACGATTTTAGGGGTGGCGTCTGCCGTAACCTCGTGTGCTCAGATCTGCTCACTCGTGGTATCGATATCCAGGCTGTGAATGTCGTTATCAATTTCGATTTCCCTAAGAATGCGGAGACATACCTCCATCGTATTGGCCGTTCAGGCAGGTTTGGTCATCTTGGCCTTGCGATTAATCTCATCAATTGGGATGATAGGTGAAATAAGCTTGTCTTTCTCGGCTGGTATAGCTACTAACATTGCAAAGGTTTAATCTTTATAAGATCGAACAGGAACTTGGTACAGAAATTTTTCCAATACCTCCGGTGATTGATAAAAAGCTCTACGTCTATGACTCCCCTGAGAGCATTCCACGACCGCCCCCTGCGCCGCAACAACCTCGCCAGGAGACACGCGAACACAACCAACGGCAAAGCACTCAACATCAGAACCAAAGTTCTCAACAACAGTACCAATCGCGTCAAAACCAACACCATGCCGAAACCCCCGGAAACCCACAACAGCAACAACAGCAACGTCCTATGAGCCATAGGCAACAGGGCCCAAGGAATTATCAAAATTCCGGACCCCATCGGGGTCCGTTTCAGGAACCTGGCGGCGCCGGGCGGGGACAAGGACAAAATCGGCGCCCCCCCAGATATGACGACCGCCAGGGGAGGTCGAACGGGTTCGGACCGGGTGATCCTGGGCCGACTTCACGAGCTCAATAGCTCGTGCGATTCATCTCTTAATTTACTGGGGGTGGGCTGATCCGGAGGAGAGAAGGTGGGGGTGTGTTTCTAGCGGTGTTGTGATATACAATTTCGAGTGCTAAAATGGGAAGGGGTTTATGGGGTAATATCGCGAACCAAATCACGATTCGACATGTGGAGGAATGTACATTACGATAAACGGATTGGGGAAATGTCTGTTGGAGTGCACGGCATGCAAAACAGACAGCATTTGATCACTCGGACGATCGGGATTCTTCTCTTTTCTTGATCGGGCTTTGTAAAGTTCTCTATTTCTTTAGTTTCTTGGTTTTTCCCTTGTTCGTTTTTCGCTTTTCACCACTTCCTCTCTTTTTTTTCCTCGGGACGGTGGGAATGATATGATGCTGGGGTTGGGTTTTTGAGGCGCATGGATTTTGTATTCCGTTTTCTTTCTCTTTTCTTTCTTGCTTGCATGGGTTTGCGGTTGTAGTTTTTGTTCTCTTGGTCCGTCGTTTCCATTTGGTCCCGGATACATATCACACTGCTTGGGTTCTTTTCTTTTCCTTTCCTTTTTTTGATGGTTACTTTTTCGCACGAACCAGATACGGATGGGCTAGTATCTGCGTGCGTATGAAGGAGGGGTGCGCGAGAGTGGTAGTGAGGTGTGTCCGGAAGCTATGGGTTGCGTTTGTCATTGATGCGTATCTGATCCAATCCTATACGCCGGAATTCAACCTACGAAAAAACTTGCGAAACAGGAGGTATACACCATGGGCTGGGTTGGGGTATACCGGGGGGAACTATCGATCTTGCTACGACAACAAACTTGATCTGGATAGTGAATGGAGACAAATGCCGCTATCTAGGGCACAAAATTCGAACCACTGCAGTCACGGGCATGGATGGGTCGGTGAAAGGGATAGCCATCGTACTGGTTCCTTTCCTGATGATGACGGCAGTGCTACAACAAAAACGATGTTACGGTCTTGATCCACAATCTTCTTTTAGTGCGTTCCACCACCTTTCTGGCTTAATCCTCGCGCCAAAAATGACGGGTATCAGCGGACAGACGCCCGAATGGATACGTATTCGATGTCACCAATATTCGGGGAGCGAAACCGACAAAAAAAATATAAAAAAATAGAGACGAGACACACGGAAAGAAAGACTTAAACAACATCCTCAGGCGAACGAAGGGGGGGGGGGAAGAAAATCGAGTTCGAAAACGAGCAGAGCCGACACGGAGTGGGGTTGCTCCCTTATTCATCCAAGAGCTCTTTACAAAATTTTCTTCATTTTTTCATTCCTTCTTTTTCCTTCCTCTTTGTTGCAGCGGGATAAAACAAGATGGGATGCCTGTTTTCGTCTCGACAATACCGTGTGTTAGGTATCCGTTATTGGCCAATTCCTGTATGGACACATTGGAAGGGAGTTGGTATGATAATGAATAATTTTCCGTCTCTAAAATCTTAGGTTTTGTACTTGCCTTGTGTTGAGTTTGTGTGTGCGTGCGCGGAGTAATTGTCGAGTGATAAGGGTGGCTGTAGGGAAGAGTATTGGCACTATGGCTGGCGAGTGCATTGTATTCCGTCCAGGATAGGGGGGGGGCACTGTACCCCTGGCTTTTACCATATTATGCATATATCTATCAGCAGAAAATTACATCCACGAGCCGGAGCGCATGACCCGATTCTTGTACTGTACCTCCCGCCCGATATCGGGGCTAAATGAATCCTCTTCATTTTACCCCTAGCTGATTAAGAATGAGAGTACTTTACTATAAGTGTAACGAGATAGCAAAGGGTAAAATCTCGTCCAATCCACTGTCTCCGCAAAGCCTCGTATCTCCGAATCCCGGGTAAGTGGACTTAGCAATCTTGTTAAGTGGGGTTTCATGATATAAAAATTATAACCTGTATAGAAAGTATTGAAAAGGTACTTGATTTCAAGATTCCTCAGAGTCTTATATTTCAGGAACCTTGTTGTCATGAAGTGTGACTAAGCAAGGATTAGGTTTTACATAGCTTAGGATTCAGAGTTATAGGTATGTTACAGTTCATACCCCGACCCATAAACATATTAGAGGGTGTTATATGACCCATAATAGTATCATACTTGTGTTTTCCAAAGTATCCGGATGCGGCCCATGGACTTGGTGCCAAGGTGGTAGCAGTTTCCATTGAGTGAATCAAGCAACAAGAAGCCAAATACATATTATAGATCAAAATTAGACAATTAAAAGAGGTAGTAAGAAAAAAGAAGTAGGAGATAAGGTAAATGTCATATCAAGCTTGAAAATGATTTCCACCTGTTTTGGCAATACACTGGACCATAATGTCTGGTAGCTTGACAATTTTATAGTTAATTACGACAAGAGTAAGCCGTGACTATGACTATTTCTGTAAGGACTACTTTCATTGCCACTGGTATTCAGATCTGATCAGATCCATGACATCAGAGGATGTACATTTTTATTAAGTGTTAGAGGTATTCAATCAGATTGAAATCAGAAGAGTTTAGAGGCCAGGTAAGCTTTTATATTCCCTCCTTCTTCCACTTGAGATTGGTGAAGTCTGAATCATGGCATGGAGTATTATCTTTTATAAGGAGAAAGTTGTAGTTCATAGCTAATCATTCCTGACAGGTTGGCTACAGGAGTGGCTGGCAAAGCCTAGTTATATACTACCAGGAGGCTATTCCTTTTTCATCCTTTCTCTTTAGCTTCTTAATCTTAAATTTTTTCCCCTACCAAGACAGCTTTATTTTTATCTTTTCTCCTTGCTTAACAGCTGCCACCCATACTCTCTTTGCCCGCTGTAGCTCTGTTTACTTGAAGAGTTTACACTCCTCCATTGTTCTCCATTCCCTGTTTCATATTTCTTCCTTCTCTCTATACCTTATATTCTATTCTGCTATTTCTTGTTCTTCGTCTTTTCTATCGGTAAAAATTATTCCTTTGTCAGAGGTATGGGTGGTGCATCCAGATACATGCAGGAAGGATTCTGTGTCCAGTACTTAGATACCAAGTCCAGTTCCATCCTGCATATCCTGAAGCTTAGGCACCAAGTATGGTTGTGTTCTATACATCCTGGTACTTAGGTTAGGAAGTACCATATTCAGATTGTATCCTAAGTAAGCGATACTAAGTAGTTACCACCCTGAAAGTTTGAGTGATGAATACAGCTGCTAGCCACTCCCCTCTTATCAGCCCCTAGCGAGCTTTCTCCCTATAAGCTCCCCTTCTACCAGAATCCTGCATATCACTTCTCCTACTAGCTAGCTGCTACCACCTCCTATGTATTCTAGACTTAGTTGTTTCTTTTACCTGCTTTAACAGTGAGCAAGGTTATAGGTAAGTCCTGACCTTGATATGAGATTCCTTAGGTGTCCATTAGGTGCAGCATATGATACTCGGTACCCTGATTCTACTTGATGCCAAATTTCCAACAGTGTATTGAATGTCTACCTGGTACCAATATTGGTGGAGTTACAGCTAGGTATAGAAGTGGCCTTTGCAGAGTTCTGGTAGAGTATTGACATTGGCACCAGATTCCTCAGGTATCCTAGTAGTGCAGCATTTGATACTCGGCACCCTGATTCTACTCCATGCTAGCTTTCCAATGGTATATTGAATGCCTACTCATCACTATTCCTGGTAGAGTTACAACTTGTTCTAAAAGTGGTCTTTACCTTGGCAGAGTCCTTGTAGAGTGGTAACTTCAATACTAAATTCCTTGGCATTCTTTGAGTACAGTATCTAACATGCAACCTCCTGATTCTATGCAATACCAGCTTTCTAACAGTGTATTGAACATCTACCTCCCACCAATATTGGTCTAGTTACAGCCTGTTATGGGAGTGGTCCTTACCCTAGAAGAGTTCTGGCAGAGTGCTAACATTGCACCAGATTTCTCAGACATCCCTGTAGTGTAGGATTGGATACTTGGTAGCCTGATTATACTGGATACTAGCTTTCCAACGGTGTATTCTATGTCTACCTTGTAGCAATATTGGTGGAGTTATAGCTAGTTAAGGAAATGCTCTTAGTAGCATTCTGGCCAAGTGGTAATTTTAACATCAGATTCCTCAAGCATAATTTGAGCACAGCATCTGATACTCAGCACTCTGATGCTACCCAATGTCAGCTTTCTATTGGTGTAATGAATGCCTACTCACCACCAATATTGGAGGAGCAACAGCCTATTATGCAAGTAGTCTTGATCCTGGTAGAGTTCAGGTAGAGTACTCACTTTGGCACCATATTTCTTGGGCATTCTTTGGGTACAGCATCTGATACTCAGCGCTCAGAACCCACTTGACACCAGCTTCTCAACGGTGCCTTGAATATCTATCAGGTGCCAATATTGGTAGAGTTATAGCCTTTTATAGGAGGTTATATTTGGGTAGAGTTCTGACAGAGTGCTGACTTTGGTTGAATTTTCTAATTCGTTTCATATGGATATTCTCCTTGATAATATCATATATTTCTCTACTTAGTATTATTTCTAGTTTACAAACATTACTACGGCGGAGTACGTATTATGTGTATTTTATTTGATATTTTATGATACGATTAGGAAATTATGATATGCTTTTCTTATCTGGTATTCAGGTTTATTTCTTACATCTTATTGTCATGGCCACCCAGCTATGGAGACGGAATATGCATGGAGTTTTGGTTGCATATATTGGTGGTGGGTTTCTTGGTTGTATAGTTGGATTTCCTTTGTATAAGTGATTGGGATGCGTTGCTGTACAATGGAAGATGGCAGAACTTGATGGAAGAATCATGGCTGCGCGTAATGCCAAGAATTTTCTTTTGTATTAGTGATGATAGAGGATTTCCTTAATATATAAAGGGGTGTGCCCCTTTATATTTTACTTTCTTTACACAATCTGGTAATCTCCTTCTGATACCCTTTCTTCCTCGCCCGGGGGCCTGGTCACCTTCTTCTGCTAAGAGCTTCCCACGGGAATATACTCTGGCTTCTCTGATGACTTCGGTTGTCTCCTCACAGTTGGACCTTCGATTCGATTAACGCGGGCTGGTGGCAGCGTTTCCTGACGTTCTAGTTTCCTTGCAGATCCAGCTTTCGCTTCGTTGGTATAGGGGGGTTGCGTCTCTGGTTCCTTCAGGTCTCAGGTCTGAGACTGGATAGTGTTGGGTTCTCTGGTGATGACATCCTTTCTCCTCGGTTGGCTGAGGGCTTTGGCTCCTGGTTTTGCTTCTGTAACCGGAGCTGGTACTCGGTTAAAGTTAGTTTGTTTTATGTTTTGTTTTAAGTATCGGTTGAGACTTAGTTTGTTTTATGTTTTGTTTTAAGTATCGGTTGATACTTGGTTATTTTTATGTTTTGATTGAGTAAGAACATGAGTGAGAATTCATGATCGTACTCAAACACATGTACTTAAAAAGACCGCCGTTCTCCACTCTGGAAACGGCAGACTTTGACAGATAGTATTCTAATATACTCGGTTGAACGGTTATCTTTATTCTCCTATCACGCCACCGAAGCCTCCCTTAGCGAGCCCAGACTGTTACTCTCTGGCAGAAAAACACTCGGCTCGTCTTGTACACAGCAGGATGACTAGCGCCCTGGCGTGAACACGTTACATTTTTTTAACCTCAGCGAGTGGTTAGAACACCACAACGAATCTGGGCCTGATCAACCTACGAAGATTCAACTTATCGAACAGTACCGGCAGAAGCGGCAGACCTTGGAGTCAGCTCCTGCATCACAGACACGTGCGACATAGATCCGCTTACAACTCGGAGTGGGAAACAAGTCCTACGAGAAGGCCTAACTCAAAGAAAAGGGAAGAAAGGCGCCACACCTGGTGAATTCCCGGAATCACCTGCGAAGGAATGCAAACCACAACCCCCACCACCGCCATCGCCACCTCCTCCCCCGTCAAGCCACCCATCAGATAGCGAAAACAGCATGTCTAGTAGTGGAACACCCGGCCCTGGGCCACCACCACCCAACCCGCCAGCAAATGAAAAACCAAAAATAAAAATCCCGCAACCTAAGTCGTTCTCAGGAAAAGGGGAAGACCTAAGACCAGAAGCTTTCGATAGATGGCTTACTAGTGCATGGCAGTACCTTACTATACATGGGATATCCATGACCGATTATGGATCAGGGGTTTACTTAGGAGCATTTTGCATGGATGAGGCTATGGAAGCCTACCAACAATGCATACAGGAGTATCAAGAACCAGACAGGGTGAGAGCGATAACGGTATCCGGCTATCTACAAGATCGATTCCACTCATCACGGAACAAGGATGAACTATTCGAAAAATTTAATGCAATATCCCAAGTGGCCAACCACAGTACGGAAAAAATTACCAAAACCGCTACCACACTGCTCATGTACCACTCCCGACTGCCAGCAGGAACGATATCAACATTCTCCTTAAAGAAGTGATTCTACGAAGCCATGCACTCAAAACTGCGCCAGGTAGTGGAACCATAGGAGTTACCAACTGATGATATAAACGCAATAATCAAAAGGGCAGAATGGCACGACACTATCCTGTGGGACACAGGAGCTTACCGAAAACAAGACCAACGCACCAGAGGAATAGAAAAATGACACAACACATCTGCAAGCAAGCAGAAAAAGGAGCGGAAGACAACCAAGGGCAACCAGT